TTTTTACAAGCACATAGATGTTTAACAACCCGTTAAAATACACCAAAATGCAGGAAATCACATCTATTTTATTCAGCAATTTCTGGGGGAGGACGCCCAGAAGACCCCCCCCCCACACACTATATGCGTTCCAGCATCGATCGGTTGACAAATTAAATCCTGTTACTTGGTAAGACTACTTATTATGATTCTGTTCAGTTTTATGTAAAGAGTTTTCTGTAATAATTTGGAAAAGTGGCAAAACATTTATGTTCATTATGTGAATAGGTAAAGTTTTAAAGTGGTTTATGATGCTGTTAATTTGATCAAAAATGTAATTTTTGGAAGTTGAAATAATTATTTTTGTTAATCAAGTTAAAGAAATCAGTTCTCTCTTGTAAATGAGTCCCCGAGGCTCAATGGGATTAACCTGTCTAAATAAAGGTTGAATGAAAATTGTATCTTGAATGAAAAAGCACCCCATGTTTAAAAGTATAAAAATTGTATTAACACTGTTAATGATCAGGTCTTAAGTATTTATGTTACACAAATATTTCCATTGCATTAAAGAGACAAACTGGAGAAAATTACCAGTATTACCCTGAACCCAAAAAGTTTGAGAACCCATGCTTTTTAGGCACTGCAAATTGAAATGTCTTGTGTCATAACCTTATAAACCCACATATTTATGTGTGACGTCCACTTGCTTTAAAAGTAGCATAATACAGTGTTTAGCTTTATAAAGTAAATTTAAGCAGAAACATTTAGAAAATGACTTACGTGGCCAAAAAACAAGAAAGGCAAAAGAAAAGTAAGTCCTCTCCACATCCAGGACTGAAATCCCTCTGCAAAGAGACAACAACTGTAGCCTTAAAATGACTCTATGTGTATATGTGTGTGTATATAAGTGTATGCATATATGCATGTATGTAGTTTGTTTCTGCACAACTATTTGACATTAGGGCTTTAAAAAGGCCAGTTTACTTGAGTTACCCGGCATCTGCATCTCAACAAGCTGACGTTAACAGCCGTCTCCATTCTTCACCCTTACCCCCATTTGCTAGACGTGCAGCTGCAGATGGCTCGACAGTTCAAACGATTGGAATGACCAGCCCCAAAAATAGTGTGCAAACTCACCCACTGTTAGGTCCAGCTGATTTCTCTCCCCCAAAGCACGCAGCCTGTACAAGCAGCCGCTCTGGTAGTAATACTGGAGGAACTGAAGAAAGCCTGAAAGAGGCAACAATTGCAAAGGAAAAAAGTTACCGAAGTGCACCGCAAAGCTCGAAATTTTCCGTTTGATTCCCTAAAAATAAAAGATAACAAGAAATTATATTTAGTTGGGAAAAATGGCATTTATTTTAAAGGATTGAGACAAACATATTAGCAATTTATACCAATAAAACATAATAAATGTTCAGTTCAGTTTAAAACATCCTGCAGCTTCATGTTTGTCCTGAGATGTTGTCTTTTATGTGTTGACATACGTGTTAAAATGATTCTAAAAAGGACATTCCAGCATTACGTAACAATAGCGGTCACTGCAGCTGACCCTAGCAGTACTTCATTTAGGATTACTGTACTGATATCATGTCTGTCTGACCTAATCTGACATGTGAATGAAGTGAGCTCATATTTTTATGCCCTAAATTAGAGTTCTGGACTTTAGAAGCGAGCATAAACGGTTAAAACTGATCTTTTTTTGATCATGTCTTCACAATGTTCCCGACCATGTTTGGCATATCAGTGCGATGATGTTTTACTCATCCTCAAATTGTTCCTTTATTAACAAATACCAAGCAGGGAAGCTTAGATGAGCTAATTCTGGCTATATTAGAAGTTTGTTGTTTACAGAATATGAAAAGGTTCAATTTTTGTTCTTGCACCGCTGATGTCTGGCCAGAAGAACCTTTAAAGAAACATGTTCAATCGTTTTAGTAGAACATTAACCAGTAGAGTGTACTAAATACGCAAATGTGTGGGTAAGTTTGGCTAAAGTTCAGGGAAAAAAAGTGAAACAACAGAAGAAAGAAAGAGGTTTTAAATTAGATGCTGCACATTTTGTACCCAGCACAGAACAAGATGAGGTGAAAACGGTTGGACTCATTGTGCTCAAAGGTCGGCAACTAATGTGAAATATTTGCGGCCTAATTTTCTTCAAATATGCAAACACAAACAAAATAAAAGCCACTAACAATAATACATCAGCTGTGTTTAGTTCAGCATTAGCCTTGGTAATCTGTAGCACTGCTTTAACCACCTCCATGTTTTGAACGCACACTTGAACCACTAATTTTGCTAAACAAGCAAAAAAAAACCAAGTAAACAATAATTACATATTTGTGTCTATTTGTACAGCATCTTTTGACTGACGATAATGTTCGGTGCCCTAATAAATTCAGCCTGAATATTCTAACTTTGTGTCAAAGTTTCAAAATATGTTTCTTACAAAATATAACTTTAAGCATGTAATCTTTTTTTTCTATTTGTAACTAGTTTTATAGAAGCATCAAAGTAAATATTTTACCATAAACAGATGCTAAAGTATATTTAGCTTTCACAAACTTAATACTTCTGCACTAAAACATAAAAATCAGTTGTTTAATTGAAAATTTAACTTCCTAAATGAAGAGCCAGGACTTTTTTTCAAGGTTAACTGTTACTGATATGTAAAACATGAGGACGGTTATGAGAGTACGTCTTAATGGCTACTACTATTTTGGTAACAAACGAGACTTACTCTGATAAATGGAAAATGCGAGGAACTGGCTTCGAAACATCTGATACATTTGTCCCTCTGGCCTGGTAAGACAGGGGTACAGCAAACAATAAAATGATCAAGTCTTCTACAAGTCACTAAAAAAAGTCATTTAAAAAAATAAAATAAAACCAACAACATTGCCCTACCAGGTCAGCATAACACCTGACAGAAAAGTGGAGACATAATGGTGGGACACCCACCAGCCTTTGATCCTTAAATAAGAGAGAGTAAAGAAACTTTAAAAATCCACACCACAGAATCTTTCAAATAAATATAAAACTTCCACAACACACCTGGAACCGTTGGTGATGAGGATGCTTTCTCGTATGGTCAGCGTGCAGTAATACCACACCAATAAAAAGTTGAATATTTCATCAGTGACTCTAAACATGAATTTAAACAAAAAAGAGCAACTAAATAATTTGTAATTAAAAACAAAGTTGCTTTACGAAGAAGTTTTCTCACCGACAGTTGAGAAAGAAGAGGCAGGTTATGGCTCCGAACATGAGGATTATTGTCAAATAAAGCTTGAACCTCTCATACTCGTCTTTGTAAGCAAATCTTAGTAAATGAAAGAGATGACATTAATGACGACCAGGTAACGGTCTAAACCTAGTTCATAAGCCGTTTTGTGGCTAAATGCTTCACATACTTTGCCTGGTTACTAAGAAGTGTCACGTTCACATTGCCCAGGACCAAACTCAAATACAGCCTGAAAGAACACCAAAGAAAAAAAAAATTAAAAACGTTTTTCTGTCGGCAGGACAGATACAGTTTAATTGTTCAAAGTTACTTTTTTGCATTACCGTCAGTCAGAATGTGTTATTATAAGGACATACAAGTACCCATTTTTCTTTGGCAAATAAGCTTCCATATCAAAGAAAACATGTTCTCTCTCTTTGATTTGTGTTTTGATGTCTGCTATTAGATTCAGCTCCTTCTCGTCGCATGACTGTGCTCGCCTGTAAAAAACCAGAAGTAATAAAGGAGCAGGAAAAATTTAGGAGAGCAGATACTTTATACAGCGTTGTTTTTAATGTCTAAAGTCCTCTGAAGGGCAGACATTGGTGAGTCAGATGGATCCTAACTAAATACATTACAGATATCCCCACTGTGGTAGTTTATTATTCCTATTTTTCTGTTGGGCAGTACTCACTTGGTCAAGCCATGCCTCACGTCTTTTAGACATTTTCTTTGTTTACTGATAGCGCTGCTGCATGTTGCCTGAAGACTGATGAGCTCCTCCAGTTTTTGTCTGTATACTTTATGGGTTTCCTATGAAATAAAACAAATCCAGGTTTGGTTAGACATCTGTTGGATGTCAGAATAAAGCACAAAAACACTAGCTGTCCCATAACTCTGTAATAAAATAATCCTTGTAGACATATTTATGCCAATAAACCACATCACAAGTTGCTACAGAAAGTTTCTGGTGCCATACCACCAGCAGAGCAGCCAAGTTTGATGATAAAATCTAAAGAGGAAGAAATCTTGAGGTCAGTATTTGTTTTTGTTTGTGCTTTTTAATCAGGAGTTTTCTCATATCAGTACAGTTGAAGTGCAAAAGACCTTTAAAGACTACGGAAGTGTACGCAAGTCCAAGGGTGGCCCTGAGGTGCAAAAACACAAAAGGATCACTATTTCTGTTGGGACAGAAGTCAAATATAAGGTAACAGGCCCACCTCTTTACTCCCCATTAGCAGGATCCATGTGCAAATTTTAAATAAAGTTTTATAGGATGGCAGAGGCCACTTAAACTGTGTAACAGATGACTCTCATTTAATTGAATTAGTGACGTAATTTTCCACATGTCATCAAAAATGTATCTTTGAATCTGGAAAAGATGCATACAACATACAGAAAAGAAACTGCTTAGCTGTAAAAAAAAATTAGTAAAGCTTCTCAGTTTGACCCTTAGAGGGTATTTCTAACTTTTACACCAGGTGGTTTTAGATCGAGCCTCATCTGTCCACAAGAAGATGCTTCACAGCAGATCAAAGTTGTTTTAACTAAGTTAGCCAGCTAGCTAAGGTAAGCTAACTGGAGGCTACAAATAGTGTTTTTAAACAAATGAACTGAAACATAACCAGTCCACACAACTTTGGTAGCAATTGTTCAATCAGTACTACCATGTCACTGAGTTGTTAGCCTCACTGCAGCTGGTTTTAGCGGAGAACACAAAAATAAACCCGAGGAGCAAAATGCTAACATCGTTAGCCACATCAACAACACAGGGATAAGGCGACTCGAGGAAGATAAGGTACAAGAAAAACACAATTTATACATAAGATATTGTTACCCAGACAGCTGCAGGCTCAACGCAGCGTTTCTGAGGCTGAGCCGAGAATGAATGACCAATGGCAGAGTCAGATAAACTAAAAGCTGCTCCGGTGTCTGTCAGTGTCACCCACACGCTGCTGGACTGCAGACGCTGCAAACGCATTTATTCTAAAACGATTAAATATTCCTTTCACCTGCAGTTGTTGATACTCCTCGTCAGTTTCTTCCCATTCTGTCTGAAAGTGGGGTTTGGACATTGTGTTGCAACAGACGGTGTGCGAAGAGGACGCTTCTTCACAAGGATTCCCTCCCGACACTTCTTCCCACCGAAGCTGACTGCTCTGCCTGTCCCGCACACACACGCTTTTTTTGTGTGTGGTGCAAGGCGCATGCGCAGTTCCAACTACCCGTGTTTCCCGAACCCATCTTAACCCGCTTAAAAGTAAACAAACACTCGCATTTAGTATGAAGTTAAAACGTGCCAGCTAGGACTTCGCTCGCAAATATCGCTAAGGTACGTTTTTTTTCTCTTCCGTTAAATATTATATTCTGTAGTAAGTTTGTCAGTAATGTTATAGTTTCTGTAAAAATGACCCGTTTTGCCTTCCAACATCAAAACAACATAAAAAAACAAAACAAAACTGTAACTGGAAACTTTTATTAACGAGACTAAAACAAAACTTATTATCCACTTAAATGCGGTCCGAACCGCAATGTGTACCCCCACAAATGTATGAAAACGACCGGTTCGGCATCGTAATGTGCGCTTAAACTTTTCTTGGCATTTCGAGTTACCATGGCGACGCAGGCCACGTGACCTAGAACTGAGATATTCAATGGCGGCCCGCGGGCCACTTCCGGCTCGCGGGTGACTTCAGTCCGGCCCACCAATGAGTTCATAAAAAATAAATAAACAAATAAATAACGGTTTTTTTTGGGGGGGGTTGGGGTCTGGGTTTTGTTTATTGCATTTATGATTCAATGCAATAAAACAAACAATTTTAAAAGGTAACAGATCATTGTAATACTTGGTTTATTTATATCAATCAATCAATCAAAAATACTTTATTAATCCCAGAGGGAAATTATTTGTTGTTGTAACTCGTTA